CAATAATTGGGTTCAATGTATCAAACGCAGAAAAATTCTTTCTTTCGACTTTGCTGATCCATAGATCGATTTTAGCGATAAACGCACTGATTTTATCTTCAAATGAAAATTTATTGCTAGTGCCTTCCAATTTCATATTTCCTGACCACGCACCATACCCCAGCCCAGTCCGCTATCGGTTCTAACCTTGACATACTGCGCATTGTCATCAACTCGTCGTCATTTATTTAATAATTTTGGGATAACTTCGCGGACCACTTCAGGTGCTTTCAGGGACCACCAGTGGTCCATGGACCACAGGTTAAGAACCACAGAAGCAGATCATTGTCAGATACTCGTATGTGTGTACGTGTATGCTGGAAAGTAATAAACACTTCGCCAAATACTGTGCCGAATATCGAACATGTGGATGGACGTTAATATAGTTTTTAACTGACCTGTCAGTTAATTGGTTTTTTATTTTTCTTTATTTTCTACTATTAGGAGCATTTGACGTAAATAAAGTAATAATAAATTATATGAATTTTAAATTATACAAACCAAGCATTCAAACTGCTACTAAATCCTAGAGCAATCTGCCAGTTTTAAAAACTTTTTTATTCTTAATATTCTTTTTTTATTTACATTGCAGTGTTTTGAATGAGATATGTCTATTACAATTTTAATATATTACTGTGAATCTGTGCATCTTGATATTTATATGCAATATCATATTCGTGCAAAAATGAAACGTAAAAGCATTGTTGTGACAGCCATTCAAATTAAGAAATGCAGAAACACGTTGTGACAAGTAACGATTCCATCGATTTTAATGAAATTTTTCATATTAATAGAATTAATAAAGTGACGGGTTGTGAAGGAGGCCGAAGTTTCAAATTCAACTTTGACCTGTACATATAGGAAGTTAAATGCCATCCACAAAGATAAGTAAAAGGGAAAATTTCTCTTTGTAATAACGCAAAATAAAACAAAATAGCGGGCGTTTACGCATGTCCGAAATACGATGAAACTCGTGCAAATTTTTTAACACAAATTTTTTCATTTTTTTCGAAAAGTTAATTATGTATACATTAATAAACCTATAACACCTTGACGCATTATCCCATGCACAACGTTTATTATGTAATTTAAAGCAATTTTAGAACACAGGCAAAAAGATACTATCATACTTACGCAGAGTGACAAGTCACTTAAATTCTTCCCATTCGTTGTGATGTAAAACGGGTTCGCAGGCCGTTGCTGCTCTGCAATCAGGAACAAAGTGCTCATAGTTTACTGAAATGTCTACAATACAAACAAACAGAATTTTGCAATAAAAGTGTTTTAATAACTTAAAAAATATCCAATAATTATTCCAAAGTATACATTTTGCATATTTTAATATGGTTAACGAAACTTATTTGTACGATTGCTATACAATATATTTATTACTTGTATGAATAAATCGAATATAACAAAATGAAAACGAAATACTTTTATGATATACGATACATAATTATTGAGCTGCAATTCGAATTAACTGTAAGCCTATAAATTCCTACTGTCAATTCACTATCTGTCTGTCATTTTCTAATTTTAAGAACGAGGTGAAATATACGAATATACTGGAGAGGATTTCCAGACAAGCCGTGGAAATCCTCTGCACGTGCGCCCCTAAATAACTTTATACGAACTTTTATTGAAAATCGGAAGCCGTATAATTTCAATTCAAATATTTACCCCTGAAATGTATTAGAGAAATGACCGGAAATACTGTAATGTTAAAGAAATAGTATGATGCACAGGGGCAAGCAACCACTAATTTGAGTCCAGGGCATATATTTTAAATTAAATAAAGTAAAAATATGATTAAAAAAAAATTGCTGCTCGTTATTCTGACTATACTCGTTATCAACTTTTATTTTTATAACAGACATTAATTTTTCAGAAAATAAACACAACGGCCAGGAGATAAAAATGAATCTTCCGACTATGTCCTTTTTACTAGTTTTGTGGAACATTTTATTCTGTCAACGTTACAAGCAATACCACAATTCACACATCGGCATATGTAAGCCATTAATATTTTATTGGATAACTTGACTGTTTATGATTAAATGAAATATTTTTTCGTAAATTTTCAGTAAATTTAAATGTATGTGCGGGACTTTCTAAGCTATTTCCAAACGAGAAAGTTGCCTGTACAAACATACTTGGATATAAATTAATTTTTTTCTTACATCCAGAATCTGCAAAGGTAATAAAACATGCCTAGTTATGTAATATATTTATTACAAATGGAAATATTCAGTATAACGTTTTGTAGGAAGTGTTAAGAAGCAACAGTTTAATCAATAAGGATTCTACATATGATTTCTTCAAGCCACTTCTCGGAGACAACAGTTTTTTTTTCAGGTAATGCATTATTTGATATTTAGTTTACATATCAAATATCGTTGTTTACAGGTTTTTGAATTTAATTAAATAAAGTTCTGACGATAATTGGAGAAGAAGAAGAAAATATTTAGCTCCACATGGACATGTTTGGAATCTGAAAAATGATCAAAACGTATTTATGGAGCATTCAAACGTCTTAGTCGAAAAACTCAAACAATTGCAAGAAAATGAAGTATTCGATATCCTGGAATGGATGAAATATTGCACTCTCGACATAATTGCAGGTATTACTCTCTAATGTAAAATATTTAATCAAGAATTAAAAATATCAATTTGTTTATAGGTAAACATTAAATAAAATATTTATTCTGTCAACTTATTGCTATAAGTATACATCACGTAGAAAAAGTATGAAACGAATTTTAAAAAAATAATATATATACATATATATGTTACTGCAAGAAAAGTGAGCTACTGAACATCCCTGAACGAAACCAACAATAGACGGGGTCAGGAATTCAAACAGTTTTTTAACACTTACGCCTTTCACGGCAATTACAGATTTATTCGTTTCAAATTCTGACACACAGGACGACTTTTAACACTATCTCTGTCTTGCGACAATAGTTAGAACTGAAGCTAACTATAATCAATTTTTCACGATAAAACTTAGGCCGTATTCCGGTCATCGTCTCTCGTCTCTCACAAGCCGGTCGCTGATTGGCTAATGAGTTTACGTCTAGAGAGATCATCACGTCTCTCTAAACGCGATTCTAGACAACTTTTTCTTTCTTCGCTTCCTTCGCTTATCAGAGACAAGCGGGTAGTTGTTTTTCGACCTGTCTATCGTCTTTCGCATCGATTTCGTTAAATCTAATATGGATGACTGGCTGTTACTCGCGCTGTATAATATTATTACAAAACGTTCTCTATCTCGGGAAAGAATATTTCGAGAGAGAAAATGCCCCTCATTTTTTCCACTGTCTACTCGGAAACGTCACTGATTCCATTTTTTTAAATTATCCTATATCAATTACTGAACTATCAAATATAATGTTAATATTTCGAAAAATATTCAAGTATATCGTATATTTATTTATTTAAAAACAATAAATATCAATTTATTTCTATGTAGACATAGCAGTAGGAGTTGCTCTACATTCTCAGACTACGAATGATCAAGAATATGTGTCTGCATTAAACAGGTATGGAAATTTAATTTCCGGATATATTTCTTCATTTTTCAAATAATATTTACAAATGTAATATCTATGTTAAATAATATAAAGTTAGTTTATATGTAATGAAATTTTTAAAATGTTCCAGTCAACTTCATTATTCTAAATTTTGTGTCTGCATTAAACAGGTATGGAAAATTAATTTCCGGATATATTTCTTCATTTTTCAAATAATATTTACAAATGTAATATCTATGTTAAATAATATAAAGTTAATTTATATCTAATGAAATTTTTAAAATGTTCCAGTCAACTTCATTATAAGGGAAACGAATTATTCTAAATTTTGATTGTTTATCAAATAACCGAATATTAAAAGTTTGCACATTATAAATGAAGTGTTTTAGCTATATGTGCTGATCATAATAAAGAGTTATTAAAAGAATGTGTAGAGAGAAGTGTGTAGAGAGAATGTGTAGAGTTTCTAAACCAGTGTTTTTCAACCTCTAACGAATCGTCGCCCCCTTCAACGTAGTATCCCCCTTCAATAAAACCGTTACGTAGTATCGCCCCTTCACTTCAAAATTCCGATGCCCAAGGCCAAGGCTAACGCCAAATTCGTACCGCATTGAATAGACTAGTGACTAGTATAATGTTATTCGTTTAATTATTGTACGATATAACGAATAAAATATCTAATTATTCTTAATATAATGTTTTACTATATCGCCCAGAAAATTGTTTTTCACCCCCCCTAAAATTAATTGTTAGTAATCGCCCCCTCGACATGGATAAACGCCCACATGGGGGCGATATCGTACCCGTTGAGAAACACTGTTCTAAACGAATAGAATGTGTTCATTTAGTATGGATTAAGGATTTTAGAATGAATTTAATTATTAGTTATAATGTTTTAAACGTAAACTCTATGTATTTCCTACACACGAGAGACAATTTTTAACATGAACGACAAAATTCTGACAGACCAACTTTCTGCAGAGCATACCGTTGTTACAATAAAATAATGTGTTTTTCTTATGTTGCCTCAATACTGTAGGAAAAGACTTTATGATAGCGAAAATGTAACGTTTAAACATGGAATCAAAATTTATATATATACAGTCCATCAACTTAATTCTAATATTTCTCAAAAATAAATTAATTGCGAAATGAAATAATTGCAAAGTTTTCTAGCATTTTTTGAACACAAAAATAAGAAAAGAAAAAACTTTTACAGAAATTTTATGTTTTAAATTATTTCAATTTAAAAAAAATTATTTTATTTCACATAAAATATAATTTTAAATTTTATGTAAATTTAATAGTTGACAATAGTTTATTTCTTATACAAGCTTTAAATATGCATTAATTATCTTTTGATATATTAATAAATTTATATTAAAATTTAGAATTCTGGAATATTATCCTGAATGGCTAGTAAATCCAATGTACTGGTCTTTTCCAATTTTCTTCAAGAGTAAAATAGGAAAAAATTACAAGAGGGACGTTGAAACAATTCATCTTTTCGACGAAAAGGTAAACTCAACTTGTGAATGGAATTTTTGCTTTGATTCAAGTACAGTGGGTGATCGGTTAACAAACAGATCGGATAACGAACAAATCGGATAATGAACACTTTCGCGAAAGATTTTTGTGTTCGGATAACGAACACTGCACAGAACGAACACAAGAAGCGACGTAAAATAATGAATACAGATTGGTCTTCTCTTATCTTTAGGCAACAATTCGAAACTTTTCGGTGTGTGGGAGACGTCGACATCGACGCTCAAGCCGGTATATACCGTTCGGATAGTATACCTCCGAACTTTGAAACTCTATCTTGTAATTCCAGCCTTTTATTTTTCTGACAAAACAATTCTTTTATGTATTCGCGAGACTGTCGGGTAGGCACAAGTTAAGTTTTGCGTCTGTTTTTTTTTTTTTCAAAAGGTGAAAGTATAATAGCAAAGGTTGAAAGTGGGCAGTATGCCCACTTTCTACCTTTGCTATTATACTCTCACCTTTTGAAAAGAAAAAACTTATCTCACTTTCTATCTTTACATATGCCCTGCAAAGGTAATGTTGCTGGGCAGTATGGCGTGAACAGGTCTACAGTCGGCCGCAGTTCAATCTTAATTAGGAAAAATACTGTATAATCAAGAAGACTCGAGCAGCTAAAGGAGTAACAAAAGTCACATCTGAGAAATAAAGAACATCGAAGAGTTCATAATGGAACCTGAAACGGATCTGACGACAAAAGAACGTCAAAAACTCTTGAATGAAGAACACCAAGATACTCGGCGAGATATGTTTTCTTCTGAAAAAGGGGATTAATGCCGATATTTGCCATTAAAGTTCTTTTGAAGAAGTGGGAAGATGTCAGAACAANAAGCAGATTATTATGTAGAATTAAAGCGAGAAATTCGAGTGAAAAAGAGAGATCGTACCTTACTTTATCGACATCATATCGAATGCAGTTTCTATAATGATTATGTAAAATAGTACAGTATAACGTCGATTATCTGGACTTCTATTATCCGGATTTTCGATTATCCGGATTGTTCAAAATAAACAAAAATTTTACGAATTTGCTGATTTGCACTTGGGGAATTACGATACTGTTTATGTACGTGATGGAATGCATAATTTTTTTTATTTCAACAACGTCCCACTTGGCACAGTGGCCGTAAACTCTTAAATATATTTTGCGTCATAATAAAAATATAACTTGACATACGTATTTATAAATATTTTATATTCAAATTACATCATTTCTATGACCAAGGGAAGCGTAAGGCACGGGCAACGTGGGACACTGCCTATGCATCGCGGTCCGAAGGGCCTCGCGCCTCGAAGGTTTATGCATTACTTAAAAGCCGTAAATGCGACGAAAAAATTTTTCTCGTCATAAAACGATGAATAGTTTGTCAAATTTTTATTCATAAAAAGCAGTTTCAACTGCTTTGTATTTTATAAAATCCGTCTTCTTGCACCACCAGAAGGTTTTTAAAACAATAGGTAGTCTGTTAGCGCTGGTCAGTAGTAGACGAAATTCAGTACGAACGTTTGTTTCTTGAAAATTGGATTACGATTTAAATACAGTATTTATTTTTAATATTACCGATATGTCATCCAAAAGAAAACGTCTTGTATTATCATTAAAAGACAAATTAAAGTATTTGTTTCGATTATCCGGATTTTTCCTTATCCGGACTACCTTCATCCCCAATTAGTCCGGATAATCGAGGTTCTACTGCAGTTTGTAAACTTATCCACTCAGTTCTGTAATTTATTATCTAGTATCAACTTTTTTTGAAGTAAATTGAAAGTACTGAAATCACGATTGAAGTATTCAAAGCACAAGTAAAAACAATTGAAAGAATTTAAAGCGAGTAATATCTGAGATGATGACCGAAAAATTTTGTTAATTCGAAATAATTTAAATTCATATAATTTAATTAATTAATTTAAATCCATATACAGTATTCCTAACCGAATAACCGAAACTCTTCGTGAATCGGGGCTAGTATTGTATTTTGACGTTGATGATAATCATTTTAAATCGAAAATATAAAATTTGTAAATTGGGGATGTTTTGTATCATTGTGTACTTTTTTATCCAGTTTGAAAGTTTGAAACTTGTTTTTTTAATTAAAATAACTCCGTAGATCCGCGGCAATCACTTGCTGCAAGAAATGTAGTTGTGGATTATAAAGTGATATGAGAGGAATATAAAAGAATAGCGGTATTTGTACATGCTATATCCTAATTTTACAAGTTTATTATATAGTATTTATTTTACTGCAAATGTCAATTATATAGAAAGCAAATTTACATTTATTTTCAACATATTTTAATATCAGGGTTACGACTCAACCGCCCACGTTCTGTCCTGGGCTCTTTATTTCCTGGGAAGATTCCACGAAATACAAGATAAAGTGTATCTAGAATTGCAAGAAATTTTCAAAAATGATTTCAATAGGGATATTACTATCGATGACCTGACTAAAATGATGTACTTAGAATGCGTAATTAAGGTGACTTTTTAATTTTTTTAAATACACTTAAAGATCAGTTTTATATGGTACAAATTTCAGGAGTCGATGAGAATCTATCCTCCTTTTCCTTTAATTGCAAGAAAAAATCCATCGGAAATGAAAATAGGTAAACTTTTAAGATATTGCGGTTTGTTTTTAAATAATAATATTTTATATTTATTACTGACTCGAACCATTAAATCGTTGTCATTCAAACAGGTAATTACGTGTTGCCTGCAAATTCGACTCTTGTCATAAGTATCTACGGTATTCATCATAATCCTTCCGTTTACGAAAATCCCGAAGTGTTCGACCCAGACCGTTTCCTATTTGAAAATTATAAAAATCTTCATCCTTATGCATTTCTGCCATTTTCTGCCGGTCCGCGAAATTGTATCGGTAAGTGATTAGTGAATAAATACAAAAACAAAAGAATTATTTTATTAAAATGATTTATTTACAGCAAGTAAAGGTGCCATGATTATTATAAAAACGGTTTTGGCAAATCTTGTTCGAAATTTTAAAGTTTACTCTTTGGACCCTCGAGATAAGATCGTTACTTCTTTTGAAAGTATTTTGACCCCAATATCAGGTATAAGAATGTTTGTTGAAAAAAGATGTAAGTTATAAGGTATGAAATGACATAAACTTGGGGTAATTTTTATTACGAATATATATAAACATAAGGCTATATCATATAATCTAGACGAGTGCATTTAAAAACTGTACCGAAATTTATTCATAAATTGTAATTTATGAATGAGAATAAAATGTATTAAGATTATTGTTATTAAATTTGCTTCACAATTATACTATTTTTTACATTTTATTTATTTATCACATTGACAATTTCTCACATTTAAGTTTACGTAAATTAAATTGTTGTTAACGATATGTTGTTGGTATTTATCTGTATTGTATAAAATGGGCCGAACATAGGTGATTTTGTTAATGATGTGTTGGATACAAAATACAGTGGAACCTCGGTATACGACCTTAATCCCGTTCCTGCTGTTTGGACTTATACCGAACAGGACGTATACCAAACCAACTTTATCCATAAGAAGTAATGAAAAAATGATTAATCCGTTTTCATGTAAAAAAAATCGCTGGCTTTAAACACCTCGCTTTCCTCGCTAGTTTCTGTTTGATTTTTCATGAGATCAGCATGTATCCTTTTAACTTTCTCGCAAATTATTTCTTCCGATACGCTGTCGCCGGCACGCTGTTTTTCAGTTATCCAAAGCAAAAGCAATTTCTCGACATTATCTAATGTCTTCGATCTCTGTTTAGAAATTCATTTAACCCCTTTTGCAACGTTAGCAAATTTAATAATGGTTTTATTTTTCACGATTGTCGATATCGTTGTTCTCGGAATACGGAATGCAACAGTTAAATCTCGTTAAATTTCGAACACGCGTGCCACCTTAGTATTTCTCAACAATCTCTTTTTTCAGTTCCGTTGTGATTCTAGTCATTTTTTTATTTTTCTGTTGCCCTTTTGCAATTCATAATTAATATAAATAATAAAATGTTACTTACAAATTAAAATCATAAGAAATTTAACAAAGTTATAAACCGTAGCACCGCGAACGTCTATTCTAGTGTAGTACACCGATAGTGCTACTTGTTCATAGATGGCGCGTATAATTGAATTATGTCGTATATCGAACAAAAGTCGTATACCGAGCAAAATTTGTTTCGTCCAAACAGGACGTATTCCGAATTGGACGTATTCTAAAGCAGACGTATACCGAGGTTCCACTGTACTGGTATTTCATTTTAGTATTTTTCTGATAAGCTACAGAATGAAAATTATGCGAATTCAAATTTTATAAAGATATTTAAAATATTTGACCAATTAATATGTAACTCTTATGAACACAAACACTATAACTATATGGCAGACAGTTCGCTAAACTCTACTCGCCTTTTATATAAAATGTATACAATTGTGAAAAAAAGGGTCCAAAAACTTAACATTATATTACATATTATAAGAGTAAGAATTGTATTCCGTAAATGAAATACAATTTTTTACTACAGAATTACAAATACAGAACATCAAATGTATAAATAGATTTGATGTTCTGTACTTGAAAACTATTATATAAGCCACAGTGAAAACAAAAATTAAAAAAAAAAACCAAGTAAAAATCAAAGCAGGAAACTTGCTTTTGTTTTCAAATTATTTATATGGATTTTCGCAGTTAAATGTCTTTATTGTAATAAAAATAGTATCAGCAAAAAAATGTAATGTAGTTATCATCTTTATTTTTGTTTAAGTTAGGTGTTTAAGTATATAACGATTATTTTCATCTTATCTGGGATTTACTATTAATTGTTCGATTAATAAACGTTAAATTAAATAAATTTTATAAGATAGCATTTGTGTACAAAAATCGACCTCTTATGTGAAGCTCCCTGAACATCAATTACAACCTGCACATTGTCTGAACATTAAGTACAACCTGCGCATCGCCTGAACAGACGTGTATTTGAACAACGAACAGCGAGTTTTATATAAGACCATGTTCGTTGGCATATTGCTAGTATGCTAGTATGATAAGAGCATTGCTGCAGAAATGGCGTTGAAGCTTTTGAGCATCCTCTGTGTTCACTATAGAAATGCTTTCTGTAATTTGGGTTTATTGGGGATCTAAATCAGCCTCTACGTTGTCAATGAATTTCATCGACAGACTTCAATTTTTCTTTATGTAGAACCCTCCAGGCCAGTGGTGGCGCACCTATGACCCGTGGGTCAGACACTGACCCACACAGACTTTTTAAATGACCCACGCGTTGATTTTCATAAACTTATTTTTTATATCATAAAAAAGAGAATAAACGAACAAAAATATTAAAAATATATAAGTATATATATCTAATGTGAAATTTATAAAAAAAACAAGTCTAAATGTCCGATGCAGGCATCCAAGCATGTGCTTGGTGTCATTCCATGGTATAAATAATAAATTAATAAATTCCTATTACAAATAAAAACAATAATATACTAAATTATACTGTAAAAATATAAAATAGATATAAAATAATTTATGTTTTTAATTTAAATAATATCTATGGAAGCCCCTAGTGGTCGTTTTTGGCATACCGTCACAGAACTGCCCATTTCGATTTTATATAGTAGATATTTCCAAGCGAACATTGGCTAGCTGATTTTCTATCATATTACTGCACCTGTGTATGACTCGTAACAGTTAGTCATAAAGTTGACGCGCATACATATCTTTGCATCCTAGAACGAGGAAATGTGCTAGCTCAGGGATGTACCAGTGCTGAACTAAACGGTAGCCTTGTCGTACGTGTGTAGAAGTGTTTAATAATTCAACATTATTATTATTGACATGACTATATCTTGTTTATAAAATCGTACTGCCTGCTGGATAATCAGCTTAGAGGTATGAATAAGTACATGTCAAGTGTTGCAATTTGGCACAGAGTATTAGGTGCTCAAAACATGCGCGCATATTAAAACCAGAATCGTAGGTAATCAGGGAACCGAGAACCGAGTCAAAATAAAACTTAAAATGGCGACACTCTCTACAAAAGGCAGTAGGAGGTTTGCGAATGCGTTGCTCGTTAGAAAGTTGAAAATGCGTACGTTGCGAAATCGAATTTTGACAAACGAATCTTTGAAAAAAACCCATTTACCTGTCCCTTGTTATTCCCGACATATCTCGTTTCAGCAACAGAACTTTTTTTCAAAGTACAGTAGTACCTCAGGATACGAACTCTCCAGCATATGAAATTTTCAGGATACGACATGAAATTTGAAGATGATTTTGCTTCACGGTACGAACAAAATTCACCATATGACGTTACATGAATTCGAAGAGCCATTTTTATTCACTTCTCTTTATTGGTCTCAGTTTACGTGTTTGCTCTGTCCTGTAAGGATCTCGCTCGATATAGGAAATCTATAGGTATTATCAGAAAGTGACTGATTTTATTGAAAAGAAACATTCCGAAAATGTTTACACTGGCAGTATTGCTGCTCAGAGTAATGACATTTGCCTAAGTCATTTTAGAATCATTTTAAAAAGTAGGCAAAGCCAAACATCTTTGGATAAATGTTTTACCGAGCAACCTCTATCCAGTGAAGGTGCTGGTGGAAGTGAAGGAAAGAAAGCAAAAAGCAGTGAATAAAAGATTTTAAAAATATATAAAACAGAAAAAATAAAAAAAAATTAGTGTTAAGTTATTTTTAAGTTATTGTTACATTGTGTTAGGTGAGTTAAGTTTTGGTATCATTTTCCTTCTCCCTCTCCTTTCCCTCCAGTTTACACCTCCACCGTCCTCTATCCTCAAAGGAAAAGTGCAAATAAAACTATTTTTAAAATCAATTATTATTCTACTAGTAGCTCGGGACGCTCTCCAGTGGGCGTTCTTTACAAATTTCCATGAGCCACGGTTCCTTTGACTTTTTTGTTCCTATCAATATGCTCTACAGCTCTGTTAAAGTCCGAATGGTAAGATTTACCCTCCAAATGAAAAGGTAGCGACCCCCCAAACCGTAGACCCCTGTACTAACAATAAAGTCAAAAGAACCATAACCCTACTTGCGACCCTTCGAGAGATATAAGCCCCTGAAATAATAAATTCCTATTACAAAAATACTGAATTATTTATATTGTTATATTGACCAAATAATAATTTATTGGCCAAATGAATAATAAAAATTTATATTAATTTAAATAAGAATTAAAATTGTTAACTTGAATGTTTGAAATATGAAACACGATAGGGGCGCCTCTATTGATTGTTATCAAACGGTTACCGGACAGACAGACAAATATCCGTTGAATGGGTTATATATATATATGTTACTGTGAAAGACCAATATTTGTGAATGTCGACATTCGCCGGTGAATGTCGACACACACAACTGTGTGAATGTTGACATTCACCACAAACAACTGTGTGAACGTTGACATCCCCCCATTTCGGTCATTCACAGTAACATATATATAGATTATGGTTATTTATACATTTACAACTACAAAATGCTTTTTTCAGTGTTATCCTTACTAAAGTAATTTTTTTCAACGTACTACTTACCTTTAATTTTTGTGTTTTCCGTGTTGGAACGGATTATCTGATTTTACATCTAATCGTATGGAGAAAAATGATTACGACATTTTCATGATACGATCTCAGTTTCGGAACGGATTAATTTTGTATCTTGAGGTAATACTGTAGATTTCGCTAGTCGTTATATATCGTAATTTTATATTAAAACTAGCTTATCCGTCGCGCATTGCTGCGATCTCAGAAAAAAGGATATTTAAGCAAACTCGTTATGATAAAATTCAATTTACATTTTATTATTTTTATTGAAACCTATTATTATTATTCATTTTCATTGGGAAAACATTTCAAAGTGTCGTTTGAATTCTATTTATTTATTGAAGTGCTTGTGGATACACGATATATTTTGTTCCTCCGTCTGGTGCGTACACGAATAAATCAGAAGATTTTCTGACGCGTGAGCCGGCCACATACAGTTGTCCATGCGAGAAGCACGGATGCTCCAAATTTAACCCACACACTCGCAGCAATTGCCAGAAGTGCGATATTTCTCATTTTTATATATTTTTTAAAATGCTTTATAATTTTCATTATTTAATTGCTCCTTCCTCTCTTCCTTGGCGTGTTGTGAGATTTCTGATAGTTGGATAATAAACTGTTTTATTGTAATTCGTCTTTTTAAATTATTTTGAGTCGATATTAAAATTTGGAAAAGGGGGGA